GTGCCAAAGTCTTTGGACTATTTAAGGAACACTAAATGGATAAAACCCATTCATCACCTTTGATAGCATTCCAGGACTTTAGCTCTCTATAACTCCTAGATAAAGATTAGTCCTGAAGGGTTAAGAGCACTACAAGCATTTAATTAAATACGTATTTTCAAACATATCTGATCATCATCTTCCAAAATAATCTCCAGTCTTCAGGTTGTTTGGTCTTATATATTTTTAAACATCAGATCATATTTCTCTTTAGAAATTTGTTGGGTTTTTTTTCTATTGGCACCTTCTGTGTCAACTCCAATCTCCAATACAAAGATTATGGATAAATGCAAAGAATGAGAATAAAGTCTTGGTTAATTACCCAGATGCCTTCAGTCTAAAGTTGCTTTGGGCTACAGTTACTTATTTCAGTGCCAGGAGCAGGTACAGCAGCTTCCTGCCTCTCTTCTGATTGGCTAATTGCTGTGCAATTTCAGCATATGTGATTGTTGCACACCTCTTCAAAAATACTGAACTATGCCTTTGTTAGATTCTTGCTCAAACCACAGAGCACTATATTTAATATTTATTGGTCGATTACTCTATTTTACAGTGATTAAATAGCATTCTTGTCTGCAGATAATTTAGTAGACATACTGAAAGCCACAGAAAGCAGATGTTTTTGTTACGTATGTATTATTGTAGCATCTACCTTACAATATACAGCGCCTTGAGGCGACTGTTGCTGTGATTTGCCGCTGTATAGCTAAAATTGAATTGAAAATTGAATTGAATTGAACTTGCATTCTCATTTTCTTCTCATTTTGCACTATTTTGGCTCTTTTTTTACCTGGCCTCCATACACAAGCATTCTTACATATGTTCACTGATTGTAGATATGGCCTCAGAGAGAACCTGTCGGTTAACTTTAATGGCCTATTAAAACAATGCAATACGTATATACTGTAATGACTTCCATCATCCTTATTCAACCCCACAGTGGAGCATAACTGAATGATTTTCACCATTGCACCATTTGACCTTTGACCTCTATTCATTTTCATAGCTACTTATCCAATTCAAGGTTGCAGGGGGCTATCAGGCATAAAACTGTACTTCATAATTAGTTTCACCACTACACATCCATCCTTTCATTCATTCATCTGTGAATATGAAGAATTCTTACCTCTTCTTAGTAGTCTGGGACCGTGGTGAAGGATGTCAGGATAAGTTGAGAGTGCAGTCTACAGCTGAGCTCCCTTTTTATACCTGCCTCCCTCTGTGCATCCTTCGGCTTAGCCAGTTCACTATTGCTGTTTTTACCTGCTTCATAATCCTGTTAAGCAATCAGACAGCAGCTTTTTTCGGACAACAAAAGGTGCAGCCATCTAAATCACAGGGACATAAATACAACCTCACAGTCGCCATGCGGCTGTAGTAGGCCGATAATCCCCCTCTGCACCTCCACAAATCACTCAAATCTCCTTTGATTCAGAAAGCACAACAAAACAGGCCATTTAAAATCAACGTTTTCTTTCTCTGATGGATTTTTTTCCCCATCAAAAAAATTGTGTTGAACATCTTTATAGCTTGCATTAAAAACTGCATCTGTGAGCAGCACCTTTATCTGTAAATATGGGTTAGCTGGGTATCTATGTGTTATTTGTTCTTTTTTATTTTCTTTTACAATCATAAAAACACAAACATTTTAAAAAATATATCAGATTCAAGAGTATTGCTATATGCTTGATAGGGAGATGAAATAATAAACTAACCTATATGATAAAGGTTTCAAATGTTTTCTTATTTTAAGCCAGTGTGCAGCCGTGTATAGATTCCTAGTACTCCAGTCTGTTTGCTCTCAGCAGATTAACAGTTCCCTCTCCCAATATGGTACAGATGACGGGAGTATCAACGGTGAGGTCAGAATGCTTTCTTATTCAACAGTGTCTAAGTAACGTGCCAAAGATTAAGGAGAATCACCAGAATCCCCTTTGACCCTTGAAAAGCTCCTAATCCTCCAACTGGTCCGTTATAACTAGCTTATGTTAAAAGAATGAAGAACACAGGAACGTAAAGTAAAACATTTTAGGATTGATGGGGATACTAGGGAATATTTTTTAGTTAAAAAAGATTCTTGATTATGAGACAGAAAGCTTTAAAAATGTAGTAAATGTAAATGTAGTGTTTTTATTGCATCCAAAGGATGACAAGACCTTTGCTGGAGTTAAGCCGAGGTTAACAGAGATTAGGCCACCTGGACACCCCACAAGTCAGGGGTTACTGTGTTGTACCAAACATGGCTTAACGTAGTCCTTAATGACAATCATAATCCCGGTGAGGTGTTCTGCACAGCCTTTATGAGCTTTAGCATTTTCCAGCTTTTGTTTTCTTTATTCGTTTGACGCAATGGGAAGATCTGACGCCAAGAGGGAGATGTTACTTAATGCCTTTTCCACGTTGGACTTTAACCACACGTATTCTTGATCTGGGTGGGATGAAATAAAACAGAAATAGTAGGTACAGGTTTTTCTGTCACTTGCTGATGTTTCTTGGAAACTGTGTCTCTGGCTTGCGCCCTTTAAACCATCAACCTAAACACAATGTGACAGAGCGATTGCCTCTAAGGAGGATCGCCCTGTAGGACAAACACACTCATCTGTATCCAAAGAAATGGTGAAAAAAAGTATCTTTGACTTTTGAATATCTACTAATAGTGTATGTCTCGCATTAGACAAACTGAAAATATGTTTTTAATAGTATTTAACTTTAATTTAAGCAAGAAAGTGGGGCCGTAGAGATTTAAAATCGAATCTGCAGAAGTGACTTGGCCTTATTAGGCAGCAGTTTGATCAACAGCAGTTGCTTAGACACAATATGCACATAAATACTCAGAAGAAACAAAATGTTAGTATAGTACACAGATTTTATCTTTGAAACAGATTTAGTCTGAGTAGTTTTTGATTGGTTGGAAACTGGAATCAAAGGAGAAAATGAGACAAAGAAGTGGGTTAAAGAGAGAAAAACAGAAATACATCCCCTACCTACTTAATGTATTGTAAAACTTCATATAATAGATGCTAATTAAATGGCATCGCTGTACCTGCAATTGTTGATTATGTTCAGACAGCTTCTTGAGTCCTGGGGACACATTTGGATGCAGTATAATTACTGCTCTTAAATCATGCCGTGAGTGTTCCAGTGGGCTACATTCATTTTATTCATGTGAACATTTGTTCTGCTAATACAAGCTTATGTATCCTATTTTGGGAAACAGTTCCACAGGTGAATAGGCATAAATAACATGCCTGAAAATAGAAGTATGTGTGGTGTAACAGGTGCTGAAACAAGTGTACTTGTTTCAGCACCTGATCGATAAAGACCGAGTCGGTGCCTCTCGTGCTCCTGAGAGGCTTTATTTTGGGACCAGCTGACTGAAGGCACTGACGGAGGTGGCTGAATCTTTTTAAGGCACACACTCCAGACTAAACAGACTAGTAATTATGAGGAGTGTCTGATGGGGGGAATCAGCCAAAGGCCAAATCCAGCTTAATCAATTATTTATGGGCTAGGACAGAATGAAATGACACGAGGTAAGGCACACGATATGAAGTATAAACAAACATAACAAGACAACATTACATGAGCTCAGATAAAACATTAGGCAAATGAAACTAATTTAAAACATATATATTTATCTGTTTAGGAGCTTTTCCATTAATTCTGAGTTATGTGATGAAGACGCTTTTTAAAAAAGTTGAATTACCTGTGAAGCAAAGCAACAACTGCCCAGGGGCTCGGCACCCTCGGGGACCCCACAAGGCCAGTTTCATTGTATGCCAAATGATTTCTGCTGATTTTATTTACGGACACCTTTGCTGCAAATACAATAATATATAAACAAATATCTAAATAAATAGGTAAATAAAAAAATACCAAAGTACTGACTAACCTGTTGGCTGTGGCATGAGAAAGACTAGTCAGATAACATTTTTTTAAGACATTATATATATATATATATATATATATATATATATATATATATATATATATATATATATGTGTGTGTGTGTGTGTGTGTGTGTGTGTGTGTGTGTGTGTGTATAAAAAAAACACCCAGCACGCCCCTGCGGGCGGTTTATCCTTCAAGCTCGGGTCCTCTACCAGAGGCCTGGGAGCTTGAGGGTCCTGCGCAGTATCTTAGCTGTTCCCAGGACTGCGCTCTTCTGGACAGAGATCTCCGATGTTGTTCCCGGGATCTGCTGGAGCCACTCGCCTAGCTTGGGAGTCACCGCACCTAGTGCTCCGATTACCACGGGGACCACCGTTACCTTCACCCTCCACATCCTATATATATATATATATATATATATATATATATATATATATATATATATATATATATATATATATATATATATATATATATATATATCTTTACTTGTCATTAAATTAATCTTTCCTCCCTCATACTATGTCAATAAATAAATATCATACATGCATTCATTAATTCAGTGTTATACGCCTCTTAAAGTGACACCTCTATCTTCAGCTGTGCTGCCCCTAGATTTCACTAATGCCTCTGCTTCCTCATGTTCACGTGCTTCTGATGCCAAAAGGTGGTCCGCAGGTGACTCATCGTATCCTGAGTTTCAAGCGCCATCTAGCGAGACCAGTGGCATATTTCCATACAGCTTTCAATGTTATTTATTTTTTTATTTATTTTTTGTACACCTGTTTCATAGATAATCTTCCGGTATCTTATGACTTACGATCAGTGTTAGCGATGTGAGATTTAAAGTTAATAAATTATAATACAAATATAATATTATTGTGCAGCGTTTGTCAGTCTCCGAACAGTAAGTCGAGTGATTTAATTCTAATTTCGTCTGGTCACAGGAATAATGATGATAATGTAGACTTGTGTAAGTGTAAAGCGGCCAACTTCCTTTTGCTTTGACGTCAGGTGAAGCACACCCCACCATCCTGGTCCAGAGCAGAAGTGCATCTGCTGAGGTGCGCGCCGCTCTGCCTATCCGGACACTGCAGTGGAGGTTACCGTGCCATCTCTGCGGCTGCTCGTCCCCGACACCACGTCCCGCTGCGGACTTTCCGGGTACCAGTGAGGACAGGGCAGAACAAGGAAGCGCTAAAAAGCCATGGCCGAGTCCAACCCGCTACGGGGGTTCCCCCGTCTGCGCCGGGCCGCGGTAAGATCCGCCGGGAGGTGGGAGGCTTTAAACGGGGTGGCGAGAATGAGGATGCTGCAGCGGAGATATAGACGAGCTTTTCTTAAGGCTGCTAGGTGCTGCGACACAGAGGCTGGGATGTGTTCGCACCGCATTACATACACGCCTAAGAAAAGGGGTCGCGGTTGGACGGCAGTTCAGTGTTAAAGAGCCTGTGTCGGGGACCAGGACAGGCCAATGACAAATGTTTAGGCTGTAGTTGCAGGTGCAGAACAACAAGAGGCTGTATCAGCTCTGGCTCTGCAGTCTGCACACACAGAGGGATCAAGTTGTGCAGCTTTATGTAACACATTTCGAAACCTGTGTATTTAAAGTACTCACACAAATCTCTGTGCAGTTGTTTGGTGCAGATGTGCCTACAAGTCTGCAGCTATCAAGTTACCTCCATCATGGCTGCTGTTTTAGTAAATATCAAGAGGGACTGTGTGCAGTTGGGTGATTATTTACCTGGGACATTTGTAGTGTGCGCAGAGTATCAGTCTGGGTATTTGGTGTCCAAAAAAAGCTCCACAGCTATAGTTGATAACAGACTTGATGGCTTTTAATGCGCTTTAAAAAAAAAAAAAAAAACACCTAATGAGGCATCCTTGAGGTTCTGCTTGTGTATTAGATTACACTGCACACATCAGTAGATGAGCAAGTGAAAATAATGCATCATGAGACACAGATAAGCTTCCCTCCAGGTTTCTCAGATTTGAAAGAGACTTACATTATATATAGAAGTCTTCTCCATTTTTATTAACTCCTCAGCCTCATGTTATCTGAGCCTGCACACAGGAGAGGGAAACTGGATAAATGGAAACACTGGCAGGCTTATGAAGAAAGAGTAAACATGCTTGATGACTAACCTTGCAGCATGTGGAAAAAGTAATACTTCAGTGGCAACAGAAGGTGTGGCATTCTTTGAGTTTGTAAAGCGGATACTGTTTACAGTCTGTGGTGTGAGAGGAGAGATGTGGACAGGTGATGTGAAAAAGAGAGAAGAGTGACCATAGAGCAGAGTGAGCCAGAGAAGCTGACCGTCAGACCTTCTGAAGTGCTGCAGAGGCTGAAAGACTCCCCAGATTGACACAGAGGGATGCTGAGGCTGTGTTGAGCTTTGCTAGACTCCATGACAAACAACACCCAGCTGTCAGTGACTCTGAATGACTCGTCTGACTTTTTTCAACCCTCTAATTCTGGTGTTGTCAATCTGTGGGGTGAGCCCCCTTAGCAGGACACATAACCACAGCAGCATGAACAACATGGGAAAAATATCGCTTGTGCTAAATAATGCTTACCTTTATTTCACAAACATTTAACATACCAATCATTTCTTTGAATGACTGATAAATTGAGGGAATGATATCGTTTCTTCTTTCAGACCTCATTTCCAGGCAATCTACATTTGATCCTGGTGCTCAACCCCAGCAGTTTGTTAAGCTCTGCGCCGAGTCCATCATCGAGCACCGACCTGGGCTTTCGCTTCAGTCAGGATGACTTTCTGTTAAAGATGCCGGTGAGAGAAGGGGTTAAAAACTAGAGCACTCCTGTGCATGTATATTTAATTTTGTCACCTTTTAAAATGCCAACTGCAGTGCAACACTGGTCAGGTAACAGCCGGTTGCCTCGCGTTTGTGTTTTCTAGGTGGTGATGCTGCGTTCTGTTGGCGACCTGCTGCGCTACATTGATGAAAATCACTTGACAACAGACTTCACTGCAAAAGTGCAGTTCTGCCAAAGCGACTGGGTCGTCCTCCGAACAGTACGCACTTCAGATACTAGATAATCCACTTTATCTAGGCATGTTTTCTGTCATGCTAATTCTGTTAGTATCCAGGACAACTGTCTATGCTGCTAAATTTAACAGGCCATGATAGCTTGTTCTGGGAATGTAAAAATGTGTCTTTATAAATATTCTAAGCCTTCATTTTTGATCTTTTACTTTATGTTTAATTCTTTTGTATTATATACTCATGTGAAACAGAAAGTTTTCATATACAGTCATGTTACAAACTAAGTACACGTTTAGTGCTTCCTTTGGAGTTAAAAGGTTAACTACAATTCCCGTACCACTAAACAAATGCACTTGATTAATTGATAATTGGCAAGTGTAACCAACTCTTATAAAAGGAGCATGTAAGTGGTTGTAAACACTATGCTACACTCTTCCAAGGAGATGAGTCTTAGCAAATTCACCCCAAGATCGGACATTGCAATGCTCAGAGAAACCTTAAGAGAGCTGTGCAAAAACAAATTCCTGCAAACCTCAAAGAGTGGACCAAAATGTGGGAGTTGATAAAGTCGTATAAAAAACTTCAAGTTATTGCTGCTAAAGGTTGTTCAACAAGCTCCTGAATCATTAGGTGTACTTAGTTTTTCCACATATTTATATGCCTAATTTTGAGAACCATCAAAAAACTGAAATACAAATAATTTATTTCTGTGTTTTTTTTCTTCTTCTTTTTTTGGTTTGGGTGAAAATGTGTAATCCTGCAGTCCATCGAGACGTTTGCAGTGACAGTTAAAGAGATTGCCCAGCTGCTCCAGAGCTTCGGATCAGAGCTGTCAGACACCGAACTTCCTGATGAGGCTAACGCCATCGAATTCTTGCTGCACTCCCACACACACCGATACCGACAGATGAAGGTGGTGTTTTGCTCCCAATCATTTCCTGCCTCTCTCTGCTCACCCACACTGTATCTGTCACTTTCTGTACTTAATCATTCTCTCTCTCTTTTTTTTTTTTGCATCAATTTTGTACTGATCTAGGATGATATCAGGAATGTGCTGAAAGAAGGACGCCTCCTGCTGTCAAACCTGGAAACTGTCAAAGCTTCTAAAAGAGATGCAGAGGAGGAGAGGGAAATACAAGCAGACATGGACACTGTTAAGAGGTAAACCATCAGAGGATAAGTGAAGCTCGGCTTGAGTATGAAAGACACACTCTCAGTTTAATACCCTTTTCTAATGTTATTAAATCGTTCTTTTAGTAGACAGTTGTGTCATGCGGCCTGTGTGTTTTAGGCTCCTGGCACAGCTCGGAGACATGGAGGAGGCATTCGATGGCTTCTTTGAGAAACACCACCTGAAGCTGCAGCAGTACCTCCAGCTGCTACACTATGAAAGTAGTTTCCAGCAGGTGTGATAAGTGGTGCCGATGTCTTTTCACAAGTCGTAGTAGTTCATGATCAGAGTCACACTGTTTTGTATTTGGTATCGTGTGTGTAGATGGAGGAGGTCCTGGAGCGGCTCTCTGCCCAGGAGAAGGAGATTGCCTCTTTGGGGAACACAGTGGTTCAGACAGAACAGTTACTTAAAGACCTGGATACACTGGACAAACGTGCTCAGGTGACACACATGCACACACACAATTAACATCTCACATGTGACTTGAAGAAATTTAGCAAGTGGGCCAAAATGTATATCTGTTTATCCAAAATAGGATTTATTCTCCTTCAGCAGTAATCTGCTGAAGGAGAATATGTGGAAAGCCCAAAGGCAAAGAGAGCATTCCTCCTGCCCTTCAATGCTCATATATTGAATGCCTGCAGGCAGCGAGAGCAGCAGCAATCACCCACACAAGCAAACACACAATACCAGACAAATCTACCTTCCCTTCCATGTGGACACATAGGAAGCCTGAGGCAGGGAGATCAGCAGGCCGAGTCATTTCAGTGATATCTGTAACTGGGTTATATACCCATGAAGTCTATTCTGGCCACTGGCTATCAAAACCAATTCGCTTTGGTGCACAACCTAGCATCCCACAGATTCTTCTAAACTTCAGCTATATGCACTTTCTTCAAACCATCATGAGAACTCTCAATGTTGTGTTGGTAAAGTGCAATTTGTGTTCTGGCCAAAAAACAGCTATGAACTCCAGCAAATATGACGTCATATCTCTCCAAGCACTTGCAAAGGCATTCTGCTAGCAGAAAACTAGTAGCAAGAGACCTCCGCACACAGAACGGGTCAAAGTGGGATTTTAATTACTCTTCCACACATAGCGTGGTGTAGAGAGGACCCGTATGCAGGACCCAGAGACAAACAAATCAAGAAAATGCAATCCTTTTATATTTCTGTTCAAAACTAGACAAAGTCCACCATGAAAAAATGAGATTTAGAAAGACAGGAGTGCCATAGATGGTTTGAAAAGGACAGGAGGGAAAAGCATAACTATATATAGGTGAGAATGATGAGACACAGGTGGAAACAGTCCACAGCAATTAGAAACTATGAGGGTTGGGGAGACGATTATATGATGGAGATAACCTTTAGAGCAGCGGTCCCCAACCTTTTTTGCTCCACGGACCGGTTTATGCCCGACAATATTTTCATCGACCGGCCTTTAAGGTGTCGCGGATAAATACAACAAAATAAAACTAGTACCGGTACCGAAAAAAAGAAAATTTATTCATAACACACGTGAAAAGACCAAGGAAAACCGAGTAAACGATAAAAACGATAACAAAATAACGCTGAAAACCGATAAAACCCCTGAAAACTATACATTTCACACCTGAACCTCAACTCTCGCGGCCCGGTACCAAACGACTCACGGACCGGTACCGGTCCAAGGCCCGGGGGTTGGGGACCGCTGCTTTAGAGTTAAACAGGAATAAGCTAAAAACTAAATAATTAACATTAAGACATGAAAACTAACACCAAGTCTGACAAAGACAGGGGAACACAGGAGGAAGGAGAAACTAGATGCACAACAAAACTCACCAAAACATAACAAAGCCAACATAACACATTTATGGCTTTTGGCAGGCTTTTCTTATAATTTGTACTGATGGAGTTTGCATGTTGTTCAGGTTCGTTCTTGTCTGACCTTTTCGTCATTAAAACCTCAAACCTCTGTCTCTGCTTGAATCAGGAGGAGATGGCTCGTGCCCAGGTGTTGATTCTACACGGTCACCAGTTGGCTGCAAACCACCACTACGCCCTGGCGCTCATCATCCAGCGCTGCAATGAGCTGCGACATTACTGTGATGTCATCACCATCGCCATACGCACCAAGAGGGCCTCGCTCACTCGAACACGAGACCTGCTGGGCTGCCTTGAGGAGGTAAAAATGTTCACAGGCCACTCTCACATGTGCAGAAATGCAAAGATGTGTGCATACAAACTTAAATGAAAACAGCAAAATGAATGCACTGATGATTGTGCATTTTTGATTGAATGATCTACTTGTGAATCTTCCTCTTGCCATTAATGAAAATCAGGTCATTTTTATTTATACAGCCCCAAATCACAAATATGCCTCTATTTATAGTTGTCTATAAATCTATAAATCTCTAGGCTCTTCTGTCCTAGAGAAACATTTGACAAAGAAAAGTCTCTCATCTGCAAGTCAGTTGTTGACTGAAGCAAATATTTGCTCTGTTAGCAATCGTTCACCTTTCTTGTAGCACAAAGTGTTGCCATGGAATCGGTCTTGTATTTAGCAGTCTTTTGTGAGCAGGCCCTTCGCTGGTGCGACGAGGGCGCCTATCTACTGGCCAGCCAGATGGTGGACAAGTTCCAAACCAGAGAAGGAGCTCAGGAAGCATTGCAGTACCTCAGCTGCCACCAGGAGAGGGCGCCATCAGCCATGAAAAACAGCCAGGATACTCTCAGCTTTGAATTTCAAGCCATACTCACCCCGCAGCTACAGGTAACCTGAAACCGCTGACACAAACACACATATATTTGACACCACTGTTGTTTACTATAGTAGCTCTGTGTCTGTCCAGTCCCAGATTTCCATGGTGACAGAGAAGCTGAACTCAATGCAGTGCATGATCAGAAACAGGGAGCAGTGTCTGAGGAAGCTGGCGGACGTGCAGGTCCGACCCATACAGCTGGTGGCCCCTCGGCCAGAACCGGACCAGACTTTCCAGCGTTGCAAGTCACCCCTTTTCTCCCCCAAACATGGTATAACATCTTCCATTGCATTCTTCTTAACACATACTCAACAATTCAATCCTAATGGGGTTTCTTCCTGTTTTGCAGTAGAAAGTATGATAAAGCACAGGAGATATTTTGAGCATTGAAGAGGTTCATGTCTGTTGTTGAGTAGGATGTTCTTGGGCACAGTTATCTCCCTATCCTACCTCCATGTCCCTCTTGCATTCAACAGTTTAACCAAGCTTTGTTCTTGACTGCGCTCTAAAGGTCTTGAGCTGTTGCTCTTTTGCCAGCATTTCCTTTTTGTTCTTTCTTATATGTGCGATATCCTCCACAGGTGTAGACTTTAATGTTTTGAACTCCAAGTTCTCCTTTGATCTGCTTCCCGGCAAGAGGGCTGCAAGAAGGAACAACAGCCAACCCAAGGTGTGTGTCTATATATATGTACACATATACGTGTGTGTGTGTGTTTTCTCTTTCACTGCAGGAGAAAACTTGAACTTAGTAGACATTACCCAATGGGCATGCGACATTAAACAATTTTTAATCTCCCAGCATGCACCAGAATAATATTTCCAGTAGAAGGAGTGTATCTCACTGCTGTGTGCTCTATGAGAAAGGGCAACTTTGGCAACAGATCTGCAGACTCTCTGTTTATCACGTGTTTAAAACGCGTATTTTTACTCACTTTCCCACGGAAAGTTTAAGCTGACGTGATATGTATGTGTTTCGTCAGATCGAGGTGATGCATGATTACCAAGGCAACCGCAGCTGTCTATATGGACCCAACCCTGAAACTGATTCAGAGGCAGAGGACAACCCAGAGCAGGTCACACGGTACAGTCTTAAATGTTAATTGTGACTCTAATGTTGCTAGTTGTTTTAGGTGTATGTGTGTGATCCGTTTAGGAGCCTTTCAGCTTCTTCCTGTGCGAGTGTCAGAGCTTACACAGTAGTTTTACATTGTTTTTTTTGTCTGTTTATGTTTACGTTCACTCTTTTTAGCCATATTATGAAGGAACTGATAGCTACAGAGAGGATCTATGTGGATGAACTGCTCTCCGTCCTTCTGGTGAGTTAGTTTAGATCATTTGATGGTATTGTTTGGTTTGTTGGATATTTCATAATTTTTATAGATATACATATCTGTATACAGAATAGTAATGGGCAGTATTTTAGGTACAGGGGCTTTCTAGATTTAATTTTTAGTCTGGGTAACACTGACAGCATGAGGAGGGAATATCTTGAAATCTTGGGCAATCTTGAAACCACTGGCTATTACCTGGTTATGATTTAGTTGTTTGTTAGCTTTTCTAGTTTGTCTTCATCAACGTCAACATTAACCAGGGCACAGAAGAACAAGTCTTGGCTAGAGTATCCACGGAGTGGTCATCAGATGACAGGGTTTCCAGACTTGTTTTGTCATTTTGTATTTCTTGATTTTTTTAATTAAAACTTTCTCCTTTTCTTTGGCTTGCATTACCATCTCTCCTCTCCCTTGACTACCTCTCGCCCCTGCAATTATCAGGGTTACAGGGCAGAAATGGAGGACCCCTCTGTGGCTAATCTTCTTCCTGTAGCTTTGCGCAGCCAGAAGGACGTTCTGTTCGGCAACATGCCAGAGATTTACCAGTTCCACAGCAGGCAAGCCGCACACACAAACACACAGAGCTCACAAGCTGTTCCTGTCCCTTTCTGTCTTTTCATGCTGATCCAATTTCCTTTTATGTTCCTCTTGGTTTCTCCTTGCAGGATCTTCCTCCAAGATTTGCAGAGTTGCCTGGAGACACCAGAGAGCGTGGGGGCTTGCTTTCTGAAAAGGGTGAGGGAAGATGTGATGAAAAACACGAGGACTTTACGTGTGATATAACATAATATGTTTAAATGTACATTTGTGTGTGAGCAGAAGGAAAAGTTCCAGGTGTACGAGCGTTACTGCCAAAACAAGCCTCGCTCCGAGTTGCTCTGGAGACAGTGTGCTGATTCGCTGTTCTTTCAGGTAGTTGCACACGTTTAACACGATGCACTCACTTTCACTTTGTAGTTATGGCACCGTTTTTGTTCAGAATGGATTTTGTGCTGTAGCGTTAATCTCATTAAAATGACGTTAACGCAGCTAGCCCCGTGCGAGGGCTGCATAGCGTCAGCGCGGTTAGCTCGTTAACGCGCTAGCACTGTGCAGCCCCTCGCACGGGGTGATCCGCGTTAATGCGGTTATGGAGTTAACGTCATTTTAACGAGATTAACGCTGACAGCACTAATTTTGATCTCTCTGTCTCTGTGTCCTGTTCTTTCTTTCTGCAGGAGTGCCAGAAGAAGCTTGATCACAAGTTAGGTCTGGACTCTTACCTCTTGAAACCAGTCCAACGCCTCACCAAGTACCAGCTGCTGCTCAAGGTTTTCTACATTTGAGCTATAAAAATTTATTAGTAATGCAGGTCACTCACTGAAATGAATAATTCTTAGTCTGTTTTCAATGTATAATAAAGAAAAGTAAATTTTGACTTATAATTTCATTAATAGCCCGACTGACGTATCCGATATTTTCGATATTAGCTATTTGCTGATTTATTGCTATTGACATTTATAAAAACGAGACACCGGAACACACTTATACCGTGTTATGAGTAAATCAATACATATGACAAATATCAGAGAAATCTGTTCGCACTTTGTGTGTCGTGTGTCTGGAGAAATATCATAATAGCAGATTTTTATAATACTGATGTTCATCAAATATCGGTCTCTGTATAGGTCAGCTCTAATTACAACTGCTGATAACAAAAAACTTTCATATACCTAATAAAGATCAGTATGCTACTAACATAGCTACTAAAGCTTAAAATCAGATATTGTATTACAAATGAACAGTACATGCAATACATGATCTTTCACTATTTTCACTATTTTCTGGGGGTTTTTACCGTCAACTTAGCACGACCCCTGCCAGTCACAAAATATTACAGCAATCAATGTTTTTACAACATGCAATTGTGTTAAAAAATCCTAACTTTCTCATGATTTACAGTGTGCATCTGTATTCATAGAACAAAAATATTCAGGGAGATCTTGAATGATTACTGATTCATGAGTCCCTCAGAAGCTCAAATAAATACTCTGGTGGTGAAAATGTTAATATTTGCTTTCATCCACTATGTTATTGTGTATTACTTGGTAAGTCATGTACCAAAATCTTCTCAGACATTCATCATCCAGGCCATAAAATTTAACAGCACCCTCATACAGCGCAAAGTGTATCAACTCATCACCAGAAAAAAAGTGCTTCTAATGTTATTGGCTACAGCAAAGTAGGTCAGGAAAACAAACATGTTTCATAATTGAAAATGTCTGTGCGTTGAACTTTGAGCTGCAAGAGGGAGTATTGATAGAAGACTGAGCTCTGTGAGCCTGCGGTTCTTGTCCTGACCTCTGTTTTTTTTTTTCTTTCTATTAGCGGTAATTATTATTTTTGCTGTGCTTTTTTTTAATAGCAGTAATATCTCATGTGGACGAGCCGTCCATACAGTAATTGCTTTTGTCTGAATTGACGCATGGACAAAATGACGCTGGCACAGAGAGACAAGGTTATTTCAACAGAAACAGAGATGCAGACAAATAAAAATGACTTTTGTGGACACGCACAATTTTAAAAGGCACAGAGACTAATTGACAGCAACAGGTTGGATCCATTTATTCAATTTGCAGAGTCACAGACAGGCTGACAATGATTTACATGTGCATAAAGCCATTTAAGTGGACAGACATCAAGGCAGACCAGATTAGATAAAGTAAGATCCACTGACATGTCATGCTGTGTGCCTGTCCTTGTTCAGGAGCTTTTAAAGCACTGCACAGAGGAGCGATACCGCTGTGAACTCCAGGAGGCTCTGGACTCCATGCTGGAGCTGTTGAAGTCTGTCAATGACTCCATGCATCAAATAGCCATCACTGGATATCAGGTACCAGCCAGTCAAATCAACAAATAAAACAGCAGACACACAATCACATTACTGGTTCGCAGATTTATGACCTTTCATCACACTTAATCTTATTAGAGCAAAGCACAAAATCTTTCTTACTGGTTGTGATGAGAATAGATTGTGCGTGTGGAAAAACCTTCAGTATATTACTTTGCTGGCAAGCTGCAGATTTGAGTCTTGAGTGTATCCATCTGTCTGTCTCCATGACACAGGGTGATCTCAGCCATCTGGGTCGTGTCGTGATGCAAGGCAGCTTTAGCGTGTGGATCAGCCATAAAAGGGCAGCGGTGCGAATGAAAGAGCTGGCCAGATTCAAACCCATGCAGAGGCACCTCTTCCTCTATGAGCACGCCCTGCTCTTCTGCAAGCGCAGAGACGAGGACAACCACGACAGGGCGCCCTTCTACAGCTTCAAATCGTGCCTCAGAGTAATAACACGAAAAACTCTCTCACATTATCAGGCGACTCAAACACTTTGTTTCCAATTTACGGTTTTTCTCTCTGTCTGTAGATGAGTGCAGTGGGAATCACGGAAAATGTGAAAGGAGATGTGAAAAAATTTGAAATCTGGTATAGCAGCAGAGAAGTGGTGTACATAGTTCAGGTATGTGATGCTCTTTTTTTCTATTTTAAGTGTAACTGAAAAGACTTTTCAGTGTCTTAGTAGTGTGTTATTTTCACTCTGTGTCTCTATTAGGCTCCCACGGTGGAGGTCAAAGTTGCCTGGCTGATGGAGATTCGAAAAATTCTCAACAACCAGCAAAAACTACAAGGTTTCAATTAATGTTGATGTTGCTTTGTGACCTTTTCTTTTTCCTTTTTTAAAAGCCTGATTTCATTTATATGACTCGTGTTCAGTCATGGTTTTTTTTTTTTAGTGCTTTGTGGTTTTTGTTGAAACCTTAGGCTCCTTCCTAGCAGTGTAATTTCCTTTAATCTGTTGTTTATGGATTTTTATTCCTTCTACATCTAACTCATTCCTCTATGTCATCTCATCTTCTTAGATGAAGCTTCTCTTCTGCTTTCAGACAACCCTCTCTCTGACAGGTGATTCTCTCTGCATGACCTCACATGATGTAGGGATGTGCAAAAACATTTACATAAGAATCATGAAATGTTTTTATTCAGGTCACACAAACCAAAAAGATTCAGTTTTTTTCAATAGCTTTTTTCAAAAGTTGGGACGCTGTGTAAAATGCAAACATATCAAAGGTACAAGCTGAGGCATTTTACTGGTCCATGAAAAATATTTGCTCATGTTAACATTCATGATGGCAACTCGTCTCTATAAAGCTGGACTTTAGAGAGGTAGAGTTTCTCACGTGTAAAGATGGGCAGAGGTTCACCAATCTGCATAAAACTCTGTCTGCAAATTGTGAAACAAATTTCACAATAATGTTCCTCAACCTTTGTGAATTGTGAAGACTGAATATCTCATCATCTACAGGACATTATATCATCAAATGATTCAAAATCTGGAGAAAGCTCTGTGTGCTCAGGAGACAAAGATTTGAAAATCATTGTGTACATTTTACACGGTGTCCCAACTTTTTTTGAATCTGGGTTGTATGAGTAACTCAGTGGATAGAATGTCAAAATTCCCTCATCCCCATATAGCATCAGAGAAGCTTGTTATGATGTTTCATGTGTGGTGAGAACAGGTCAGCCCAAGTCTGATGACTCGATTCTATTCTTTTAAAGCTTGATAAATTCTGTGAAGAAAAAGATTGTGTTTTGACCCTTAAATCCAATTTCTGGAATGACTTCCCGATCACATAACACCCGCCTACAAGTCAGGATATCCGCCATCGCCACAATCATAATTCTCATAATAATCTTTTTACAGTTTATTGATGTTACTGAGTCAGTGTGCATGTGCGCAGTAGCTCCATATGTGAATGTATCAGCATCTTTGTCATTACCCTTGAGATTTTAACTGCCAAATCCTGCAGATGGCACAACATTGTCTTCAGCTCTGATATTTAAAACTGCTGGTTTTCAGCACCATGGACAGTGCCATTCACTTAATTTAGGCCTGCTACAGTTTCTTTCTGTGCTGCCGGGCTTTGATTCCTCTTCATATTCATGCATATTCACCTCACTGCAACAGTCCCTGATTAGATGCTTTAAAGTCCTACTGACTGTAACAGGGAGGCTGTGCATTACGTTCTTTTAAACACATTCTTTTAAGTGACTCTGTCAGATACATTCTTGATCCCGTGGTGACCATTAAAGTGATAGGATAGGAGGTAACTGTAAGTTAGACTACTTTTAGAGCGGTTTTCTTTTTAATATCTTGCACTTGTTGCTTTGATGATCGCAAGCTATTCAACGTATTGTCAGTGATGGAGCTTTGCAGTGTGTTGGAGTTTGTGGGTGTGTGTTTGTGGAGTTGTTCTGGAGGTAACAGTTTTATGTTTACAGGTGGCATGCTAGCATGTTGTAAGGTCAAGTAATGGCTGAGCCTTGTGTGTGTCACAATATGCAAGATCATGGAGATTCAGTTTATGGGAAATTTATCAACACTGGTATATTTTCTCTTTGTCAGCAGCTTCTACAAAGAGATCAAAACTAATGTTGTTATTTGTAGTCTCAGCCGGGTTTTGCTTGGACCTCCACTGTTCATGAAACATTTTTAAACATATCAATGACACATACTGTTGCAGTGCTGTAATCACTGTCACTAGGTTACAACAGTTGCATTATTTATAATTCAAAAAATAAATAAATAAATAACTAGCACAGCTATAAAGAATTATTAAACATTTGATGTAAAATTAAAATCCATATTTGTGAGCATTTATAGAAATCTTTAATAGGGAACCAGGAGATTTTAAAGGGTGTTAGAAGGTATTGACAGAGACAGATGAGATGGTAGATTTGAGGGCCAAAATGTAGGATGCAAAACTAATTTACACACAAGCTTTAATGGCTGATTTCAAAATTCACAAGTTGAAAAGAGAAACAAAAGGTACCAGAGAAAAACAGGAAGAACCATAAAGCAAACCGGGTCCTTATGAAGCAAGCTCAGCATCACCACGGGGAAGTACCCAAAAGACAAATGCTAAACACAGAGAGAGGAAGAGTTTGACTGAACAACATGAATGACAAAAGTGAGTACTGCTGCGTTTTCAGTCAGAGAAGCACTTCATAACACATCAGAGTGATTTCTTTGGTCTCAGTTGATGCATTTTTTCCAAAACACGTCTCTGTGGCTTTCAAGCTCAGAAGACTTTACACCCAAAATTGGTTCACACCAAGGATCCTATCCCCCGGTAAAAACAGAGTAATATAGTGTACACTGTTAAGTGCCAGGAGGATCGCTCTCAGTTATACATCGGGGAAAACTGATTAAGCAGAAGAGCTGCATCCTCTGGAAAAAACTCTATTTACACCTACAGATCTCTTTGGCCCTTGTTTTAGTGATAAGAATGTACACGTCCTGGACAGGGAGGAACGCTGGTTTGATCCGGCAGTCAAGCAGGACATTTACCTGAAAAGGGAAAAATCATCTCTGAACTGAGGAAGGGACCCTAGCTACAGTTCTGTGATTGCATCCAGGATTTCCTTACCTGGATCCAGACTGAGGGTGAAAAGTCGTACGCAGAATATTCTGTAAATTCAAAAAACTAAAAGTCATCGTACCACAGGAATGAGGATTAAAGAGTTTTAAAAAGTACAACAAACTTTAAGCACTAGAATGATAAAAAAAAAAACCCAAACAGAAATTCAGACTAAAATGTTTTAACACAAAACTCAAAGAGGCCCACGACCCATTGTTAGTGTTGGTCTTATCATGGGAGTTGTTGACATACATTAAATGATACCAGCGATTTCTTTTAAGAATTTGAGCATGGTAAAACCCCGATCAGACATTGTCTTGAAGCACTTTTGGATTCTTACTAATATACAGTATGGATGATGAAATACTGTAAGGATTGCCACTCTTTGAATGATATGTGGATCTCACAATTGTGTAGGCCTCACAGTATTTGTAAGTAATTGCAGTGTTTGCTTTATTTAGTAGATGGGAAGGCTTAAAACATTCGGACAATTATTATTGTACTGCGTTAATGTTCTTTCTAGTTATTGTATTAAATGGGACAAGCTTCACCCGTCTACTACATAAAGCAGGTTGAAGCACACGTGGAAATTATTTGCAAATGCCCTTTAATCAGGGCCTGTTATGCGTGTTTGCGTAGAATATTGTAGAAATAATATTTCCATATATTGCAGCGATCTATGATATAAATGATTTTCATGTGATAACCTCGAACATCCTTTGAAATCAGGCGCTGAAATATATGTGACTGTAACCTGAGTGGAATGTTGTGTTAATTTACAGACTGTGTTTGAGGTAACAGCTCGTTTTGTGACACCGTGGATGTCGTTGTTGTTTTGTTTGTTGTGCTCGTTGGTCTTGTTCCCATTGTGATGTGGTTTAGTGCATCAGAGATGTGTGTGTCGTGGGGCAGCGTGCCGGTGGGAGGCTGCTCAGCGTGTCTCCCTGTTCCTCACAGCTCCTCTACAACAAGCCACTCCCACATTCCCAGAGGGGAGGAGTCGCTACACACTAGCCCCGCCCATTCTGATCCTGTGGTTCATTCACCTCGACGCAGTGAGTTGGACAAATGGAATACAAACACACACACTTGTTTTTACACCTTAGCGAGGACATCAAATCGACAGGAGCTGTCCCTAGCCACTTACCTGAACCATAAGAAATGAATATTTAACCCTAAACCTAACCATAACCTAATTGTAACCTTAACCCTGAAACTGCAATTTGAGGTGTTTGTGCTGATATGCTGTATTTGATTTTTTATCATGCCCTACCATCTTTTTAGAGATAAGAGGTTTTCCCCTTTTTCTAATTGCTCTGTCATGAACTTTAACATTTAACATGGGTATTCTGCAGCTTCTCTCAGCATTACATGGTCTCACTTTAGTGAACATTTTCTAGGATGTCCACTGGGAAGTTTAGCATCTGTATTGCATGTTTTCCACTTGTGGATGACCTTTCTTAGTGTAGAATGATGGACTTCAGATTGGAAATGACCTTACTGACCTTTCTTTTTTACCATGAGTATTTCATTACTAACACTTAACTGTTCAATTTTCTCATTTACAAAACAAAGAAACAGAAAAATTCTGCAGTTTCACTTCACTTCTTTTAGCTGTCTTTCATCTGTAGGTTGGCCTGTGAATGCTCACTCAGTGGCAATCTGTGAGGGCCTGGAGGACTGGGGTGCTACAGACCTCTCCACTTTATCAGACTCAGAGGAGGAGGATGAGGATCAGCCTGCCCCACTGGTGAGATTTTGTTACTGTCACATGAGATATGCACAGAGTTCACACAGAAACTGAGATGTGGTTATGCAGAGAACATTGAAGCAGTCTAAATATGCTTGCCTGATGGGAGGGACTTACTAAAGCTTTTAAAATTCTAGCTGTTATTTTTTGTTTGTTTCTTTGTGTTTGCATGAAGCCTACCGCCTCTTTAAGGGAAAACTATGAACATTAAGCTGTGCAGCTACAGCAGGTGGAAGGTCCTACCTGAACCTAGTAGACCTCCCTCAAATGAGTGGTGGCATCCAGCCTGACATTTTCTTACACCAGAATTCAAAATATCATTAGCATAAGAGCTATAAGTCTTATGTCTTTGTTTTTTAAAAAGATCCTCCAGCTTTCTTTTCTGGCAGTTCCTTCCTCGTCTTCCTCATCTTCCTCTTTTCATTACCTCCTACTGGAGACTGATATTAGATAAGACCTGCCTTCTTGATATTTTTCCCCCATCCAATATGACTATGAAGGACACTGTGACTGACGTATCATCTATTGTACACTGATACTTTGTGCGATGATGCTCTTTGCGCCTGTGGTGGTTTATGAGTTCCTAAATGAGTAAATATGTATTTGTCTTGTCTATTCATTCACGTGGCAAAGGGTTTTATACACTGTTCCCTCAGTTTTAATTGTTTTTACTCTGTTCCAGGTGGCGGGCAGGTACAGAGTGATGGTAGAGAGCACCATGGCCAGCTCTGATGACATCATCTTTAACTGTGGTGATGTCATCCAGCTGCTGCATGAGGATTCATCAGGAATGTGGTAAGACAGGCGACATTCTTCAGAAATCTTGCATTCAACCATTTTCAAATGTTAAGATGTTTAAAAAGATTTTCTGCGATGTGTGTAACTGCAGGATAGTGAAGAATATAAGTCGTGGCGAAGAAGGCCGCGTCCTACCCGAGGACTTGCATAGGATTCTGGGAGAGACGTGCTGAGAGCCAATCAGGACAGAGGATGAATGAAGAAGTGTGCCTGTTTGTTCCTCATACTTTGCCTGAATATCCTTCCATGTGTACAGACACACACAGACTTATATATTCCATCAACTTCCTGAAAAAATGGGCATCTGAATCTGCTTGTCAATCAGAATGAAGCACAACATCAGCCACAGACTTTACTCCTCAAACTGCTGTGAGAGTTTCACCTCTGAAGACTGTGACCTCCAGAAAGAACCTCAGAAGACTTTAACAGTGGAAAGCACATACAAGCCATCCTTTGCTCTGCCTTCTCCGGCAGCAGTACATCAGATTATTTTGGACTGAAGACTTTAAACAGGGGCTTTTATTTATATGTTCAGAGTGGACTTTTGTTCTAGACGTCAAGCTGTATAATTTCTATTTTCTTATGAAACATCATGTCTACCAACATATCATTACTGTTCTTGTGCCAAACAGCTAAGCTAACTGTCATGCAGAAATGCCCTGGTTACGTCGTCGCCGCCTCTTAGCAGCCAAAGTGAACACTGAATGTCTGTCAGTTTTGTTTATGTGATAAAAAAAAGAAAACAAAATAAGAAAAAAAATGAAAATATGGCATTTTAGTTTTCCAGGTTTCAGCTTTCATACTAGCTCTAGACAATTTGACACTCAGTGCTCATAGTGTGGGAAAAAATTACTGCATACCCTTGTTTACACTTAGCTTAATTAAAAGGGACCGATTATGCTTTACTTTTCTCTCTCCTTAAATAATTACCTGTTACAGCAGTGCTACTCATATTAAGCATGGCCAGAGTAATCCCTGTAAGCTAAAAGATAAGGCTTCAAATAGCTCCAAATGCTTGGTTTCATACAGCTCCTTTTACTCTCAGCTCTTAATGACATCAGTGAGAATGGGTATGATGTTTATGATGTGCAAATGAGAAACGAGCTAGCTTAAAGGGATGGGACAGGAAACTGCACTATTAGTGTAATTAGTATGAGATAAATGATTATTCTGAACTTTGAATCATACCAAGCTGCTTAAGTAGATTCCAAGAATAAAACATATGGAGCTGGAAATGAGAATAATCGGTCCCTTTAGTGACGTGTCATAGCAGGAAAGGCAGAGGCATAAAAACATTGTTGAAAGTTAGTTTGGGAGTTTGAAGTTTTTATAAACAATCTGCCAAAAATTTAGAAAACTAGAACATCTGTAGTCGTTATTATTGACACAGTATATGACAAAGTGAATCAATTCATCATCTTGTGGTGACACCCCAAACTGTGGAAGACCAAATGCAATACACAAAATGTTGCCCCGGGTCATAACAGGACACCAAAGGCCTCGACCTCAAAGTCCTTCTCCTGTAATCTCTGATCACAATTAAAAGAACAAGAAACCTCTGTCAGTGCACTTTGAACAACCAGATTAAATTAGGTCTAAATCCTACATCCTTGCTACTGTGTGCTTTGGAGTCCAGGAACACTGATACGAACAGATCCTCTCCTGGTATGACAAGTTTAAATATTTCCTGTATTTTATTGAAAAAAAGCATTGGTGAAAGTTTCAGTTGCAGTGTGATTCACTCTTTTATGAAGAGTCTATACACTAGGACTAGGTTGCTGTTATTTATGGTAATAATATAGTTTTTAATGAAAGTTATATTCTCTGCTATGCTTTTTTTATTCATTTGATTCAGTAGCTTTTCCATCATCTAGTCTTTTAGAGCTAAAACCCTTATCACTGTCAAGCTTTACCATATTGATTGATTGCTTGCTGCTGTGCACGGGTATCTTACACCCTACATATGACTGCAGCTTTATTTCCACCTGCAATGAGAAACGATGCTCAGTGGTACTGCCTTTAAAAAGAATAATGTGGAGTTGTCACCTGAGCATATTTGTGAATATGAAATTTGAGGGGGTTCATTGAGAATATGGAAATGCATTTTGAACTGCCTTGTTTTACAGCTGCCCAGAAAAGTGTGTGAAGTGTGCAGAGTGCTCACAAAAACACTGCCACTCAACTGGAAATGAGCTGAGAGCTCATCTCTGACTGATGTAGTGTAATTATCTGAGTTGCTGGCAGCTTATTTAGACATCTGCAGCAGACTGTGACCATATAAACATTAAAAATAGAAACTGTAGACGTTAAACACCATTTTAGTCAGTGTTTTAGTCTGAATGGTGGTACTGCTTTGGACAGATAGACGCTCATACTCTGCTATCAAGTGAAGAAATGAATTTATTGCAAGAATATTTGAATCAAATCCTTGTAGTAGCAGTAAATCCAACATTAGCTTGTACACTAAGTAAAGATTAATTTTCACGGTATTCAGCACCCACAGTGGGAGCATTGAATCGTTTGACAGTGAGCGCTCGACCATCCAAATGAAGCATGTTCACTGATACGCAATACTAAATAACATTTCATCACTTTAAATTGATTTGAAATCCACCCAGCGCTGGCTGCACTGTAACATCAGAAGTTATTAATGGATTAGTTCAGTTAGGCTTTAGCGTTTTTCGTGGCAGTGCTTTAACTTGGTGTTTGCTGCTTTTGCTTATTTGCACTGTATTTTTTTAAATAATACTAATTATGTATAGAATTATTTTCTGAAAATATAAACACTGGACTTGTTTCAGCTTGACTGATGTGATTTGTCCCTTTTGTATAGCCTTTGCTTGAACGATACGTCTATAGTCCTCTTGTTAGTTTTATGGTGCGTCTTAGAGCAGGATAATGGCCAAGAAAAATTCACTACCACTTCATTTCATTGATAAAATGGGGTATTCATATAGAGCTTCCTGTTGATGCAAATTTGCTTAAATCATGTTTGTCATCATCATATGATACTCAAACACTCAGATAAGTTGATATGTTTTATTGAGGTACTGAAAAAGAACACGGGGGATTTCTCACTTCATTCACTTCCTCGGGGGCTAAACTCAACACATGCTACTTGTTTATTTTTACAGCTGATTCATGAATCCTGTTAATCGTTTATATTGATCTGTGTTACGTTACTGATCCATTTGTAGTAGTGTGAGACCCGGGTATAGATGCCATACTTCCCGTCTTTGGCACACTCCTCTCCCCAGCTGATGATGCCTGTCAGGAACCAAGTTCCTTTGTAATTGGTGGCATGCGGCCCACCGCTGTCCCCCTGGCACGAGTCCTTCTGTTCACTTTCAAAGCCTGCACAGAACATAAATCGGGTGATATGGTCTCGGCTGCTCTGTTTACATTTGGTGCGGTCCACATAGGGGACTTCCAGCTTCTGGAGCTTGGTGGCCTCGGGGCCTTGAAACCTTATCCGGCCCCATCCACTCACAAGGGAGACCGTGGATTCTCTCACAATGTTCTGTATGAATTCTTTGGGGCCCAGGCAAATGGGACGCCGCTTGTTGGACAAGTCCACTGGACTGCCAAGCTTTAGGAGCGCAATGTCATGGTTATATGGTGAGGTCTTGAAATCATACTTGTGGTGGGGATGCCTTTCGGCCACCTCATGGTCTCGCTCTGGACCCTCATCTTTGTTCACATCATGTTCACCTGGAAGCATAGATTAAGATAAAGATTTTCTAAGACAATGTAAATTTCTGCACAAGGAAGCAAAGTCTAAAGTACTGGACAACTTGTGAAAAAAAAACATTAAAGAAACATAATTGAAACATAATTTGTTAAAAAGCCATGAAGCTGAAACGAAAAAGGATTTGCCTGATCCCTAATACTTTAGGACAAAACAGTATTATCTGTACTTTAGTTCAAGTGAAAGATTTAATGTTAAAGAATGCAAGTAGCCTTTGTTCTTCTTACCAACTCTGATGAAGAATTTACGTTCTGTGCCATCGTTGTTCCACAGACAATGGGCAGCAGTGATGACCCATAAGTCAGCGAGCAGGGATCCTCCACAGAAGGGCCGCGCTCTCTGCACGCTGTCTGGGCGGGACATCAGGGCCACCTTCAAACACAGAAAGAAAGGCAAAGAAAACTTGCAACAGAAGAGCAGTTTTAAAGAACCTACCATTTCTTGCACATTTTTTGAGCAACTGAAAACAAAAAACACTCAAAAGCAGCACGTTCTCTCTGCATGGGACAGGCTTCAAACACTAGACTTACACCTCTAATACATCTTTATTAAACCTGGCGCTCAAGTGCAAGTTTAAATGTCAAAGTCTATTCAAAAGTCTTTCTATTTAAACTATTGCACAGATTTAAAAGTTGCTGACTATTCGAGGATTACAGCTTACGTCTTACTTTACAGCTACATCTAAAACTCGTGCAAATGTTCTTGCCCTGCTGGGATTTTTGGTTCCAGTTCTTCACATATTGGCCTTCACTGCATCCCCAGCTCTTCCCTCTCCAGCCTATATCACAGTACCTGCCAAGGTATCTCTCCAGGAATGGCCGTATCTCCTCCCACAATTCTTTGGTCAGTTTTCTCTTGAGCTGTGACATTGGGGAGTGTGGCATACCCCCAGGACGACATCTCTGTCTTTGTTTTTGGTGTATCGGTGACACTTCTCACATGTCGACGGCCAATCACAGCCTCAGAGTCCAGAGAGTCATTGCTTGGGTTTGAGTCGGTCATGGGATGGTTCAGATAATCATACTCTGATATATCTTCATCATAGAAGTAATCGTTTCGGGTATCGTTGTAGGAGAAGTTTGACGATCTTGGTTCGAGAATGGACCTGGTGAGAGAGCTGGAGGACAGATTCACACGACCACAGCTGAATGGCTCTGGAGAAATAAAAGTGAAATAATAGGGGAAATATTACATTTCTGCCTCCTAGATTTGTTTAAATTTTACATTGTCATCTTTTATGGGGTTGGAAGTATAGTTCTTCAGATTTTTTCTCACATGTGCAGATTGCTGACCCAAAAATAGAAAGAAAAAAAAGAAAAGAAAAAAACCTCTTTCCTTTCTGTTCCCTTTGAACACTTCATCTTTAGCAAAGTCCAGTTATATTATGTTTAAGCAGTGTATCATAGATGAATGTGATTACTGTTAAGTTCCCTGAATGTTTTTTGTGATAAAAGAAAAGAAGAATTTTTTCCCGTTCATATGATTTACTTAGTCCGGCTGCAGAAGCATGAACGAGCGTAAAAATGAGAACTATAAATTTTGCACCCCACCACTTCCACTGGAGACATGTTAGGAAGACAACTTCAGGAGAAGTATGAGGAGGAACAATTGCATTTTGAACAATCATCATGAATATTTACATGAAAGTTTATTTCCTTTATGATTGTTGCCTCTCTGTGGAATATAAAATTTACATGTATTCATGGTAAAAAGGAAACTACACGGTTCGTCCTTTCTAAGGTTTCATGCATCAGGACATTGTAAAAAGCTAACTAATCTGTACTTGGTTTTTAAATGAGGTAAATACAACCATGGATAAACAACAACAAATGAAATATTATTCCAAGTCATTACGTATGTAACAAAAACTAAGCCGAAATGCAGACGCAATATAAAATAAACTATATACCGTGATTCAGTAGCTTCCAGACCACCATTAGCAGCAATATCTTAAATTAATGGTTTTTCTTTGTGGCTTTATCAGTATCTCAGTACTCTTCTTTACAACGTTGCTTCATTTCATTGAGGTTTGCAGGCATTTGTTTATGCACAGCTCTCTTACTGTCACACCACAGCATTTTAATCAGGTTGAGTTCTGGACTTTGACTGGGCCATAGCGATGCCCTGATTCTTTTCTTTTTCAGCCATTCTGTTGTAGATTTGCTGCTCTGCTCAGGATCATTCTTCTGGACACATATGGCCTCACACTTGGCTTTAAACACTTTGGTATACAGAGGAGTTCATGGTTGACCCAGTGACTACAAGGGACTCAGATGATCTGCTTCAAAACAAGCCCAAATCATAGCCAATGCCATGCTTTACTGCCATGCTCTTTAGAGGCTTCTAAACAAGCCATAGTTGTTCAGTCTTTTTTTTTTCTAACTGTATTTAGCAAATATTAAAACCTGATAAAGATAAGGTTTTTTTTTTATTATGTCTTCATATGTAAAACCTTAGAAACTGTATTGTAGTTGAAGTCAGAATGAAGTCAGACTCGTTCAGAAAAAAACAAAACAAAACGCTCTTACCACTGCACTAAATGCTGTGTGTGGTTTTACCTATTGGCTCACAGCTCTTCTTGTTTGGCCCAAGTATGTAACCAGTTGCGCACCTGCACACAGCTTGATTAGCCTTCATTACACAGAAATGAGAACATTCGCCATTGTTCACCACACACTGCTTGTTCACTTCTGGAAAAAGTCAGGAAAACAGAATTAGCTTTCGCTGACAAAACTTTATGGTCTTAGCTCAAACGTTGTTTCAGCCGAGTTATTCAGATCCACACTCACCGATCTCACAGTTCTTGCCACTGAAGTTTGGTTGGCACAAGCAAAGATAACTGTTGATCCCATCTTTACACACACCTCCATTCTGACAGGGGGGTGGCTTACACTGGTCGCCATCTACACACGACAGATCACACCACAGGTTTAGAGAAGACTGTGTGCTATAAATTCTCAGCAAACATGAGAACTTGTACTTTGTTCGTCTTACCGATATAGCCTGCCCAGAACTCCATCTGCAAAAGGAAGATCAAATTAAATGGGAAGTTCACCAACCATCCATCAAGCTCTGATCACTAGACCACTGCAACTGCCCACTTTTGGAGATATAAACAGTCAAGATCTTAATACTGGTAAAGGCATAGGATTGTGTGTGTGTGTGTGTGTGTGTGTGTGTGTGTGTGTGTGTGTGTGTGTGTGTGTGTGTGAGAGAGAGAGAGAGAGAGAGAGAGAGAGAGAGAGACCTACAGTTTTCTCATCATCCTCAAACACCTCTCTGGCCTCCTCCATGCTGCAAATTTCTTCCACACATTCCCGCTCCAGGTTACCTTGTTTAAGTTCTTCAAAAGCAGTGTTATATCTGCGCTTACGATGCAGCACGGTGTGTGCCGTCTGCTGAGACACGAACACAGCTCCTGAAAGGGTAACAAAAGACAAAGAGTCCTCACTAAGTTTAGCATAATTATTCAGAACTATTGATAAAGGCTGCTTTCAGGGATATATATGTATATAAAACCTATATGCATAATATAAAAGTACATCAAAGATGGACAGGTACCAGGACTGAAAGTGAAACCAGCGCGGAAGTGTCTTAAATCTGGCAGCAGGGTTTGTTGGAAGCAGGCTGAAATTCTGTACTTTTTCATTCAGATCGACAATGCACTCATCAAAACACCTTTATGGTGACCAAAAAGCTCAGCTTGAGGCTAAAAAAGTACAACTTTGCTGTCCAATGGCCATCTTCTATGTACAGTCTATGATATTCCTCTGCAGTAATCATATTATTGGTGTTCTCACTTGTGTAGAGACTCTGCTATGGTCTCATCGTCATATATCTGGTGATCCCTTTGACACATGATGCTTTACCTTAATCATTTAATTGAGCCAAACAAAGAGCTGATACTTGCTACAGTTTTACATCCGCTTAGGATAATCCAGACTGGCTGCTACATGTACCTAACTCAGTGGTCCAGCTATCATCCCTGCCTTTCCAGCACAAGACGTCTTGCAAACAGCCACCAAACAAGCACCAAATTGTCTAAATTATATCAACTT